CATGTATAACCTGCATCGGGTTGCTTGCCTTCTCAGTGAGGGTGAGTGGGCAGGGAGGAAGGGAGAGAATTTGGAACCCAAAGTTTTAAAAACAAATGTTAAAAAAATTTTTACATGCAACTGGGAAACAAGATTATACAAGCAATGGGGTATAGAAATCTATCCTGCTCTATAGGAAAATAGAAGGGGAAGGGGATAAGTGAAGGGGGGGTTGATAGAAGGAAAGGCAGATCAGGAGAAGGGGTCTTGGGGGGAGGGGAGAGAGGGGGAGAGGAGAGAGGGGGAGAAAATTTGGAACTTGATCTTGTGGAAGTGAATGTTGAAAACTAAAAATAAATGAAAAAAAGAATAGCAAAAAAAGGAAATTGTGTATACAGCTTTAAACTTTTGTTATGTAATTTTTAAATTTATTTTTGCCAAAGAAAAAATATTAATACTGTTTAATCAATCTAAAATATTAGTATTCTGCTTTAGGCACAAATTTACCAGAAACAATTTTATTTTAATATTAATCTCATATCCTAGAGAGAGATGTCCAAACTGACATAGTTCTCCCACGCACAAACATGTCTCCAAGACAATTTGTGTTAACATTTATAGAAATTTCTTAAATTATTTTTATTTCATTAAATATTTCCCAATTACACATAAAAAAAGAATTTAACAAGCACTTTTTGAAATGTTGAATTCCAAATTCTCTCCCTTCTTCCTGTGTCTCACCACTCCTTGAGAGGGCAGTTTGATTTTGACTATTACATGTGAGGTCATACAAAATATATTTCCATGTTAGCCTTGTTGTGAAGGAAAACACAAAATAAAATAATAAAGTTTAAAAAAAACAATCAGGAAAGGTCAGCAAAAATAACTGAGTAATATGCCTATTTTTCCATTTCTACTTGGATAGAATTGGACAGGGATAAGTCCAACTCTGTTCTCCATAAAGGAAGGCATTGGGAGGAGTTTAGTACCCCACCCCACCCCACAGCCCTCCAGTCAGAGGGGTGAAGGCTGAGGGAGGTGGTATGCAGGTTTGAGTTAGCAGCAGGTGATGGAATTAGAAGTGATGAGTTTAACCTGGGGACTCAGGTCTCTCAGTATAAAAGTAATTCTTAATTGATGTTATTTGTTTTACATTGACTAAATTTCCTGTTGTGTTCTTTCCCCCAACTAGAGAGCCATTCCATATAACAATATTTTTCAGAGAAAAAGAAAAGAAAAAACAGTCTTCAAAACCCATCAATACATTAAAAAGAATCTGAAAATATATACATTGTTCCATATCTTGCCAAGGAGTTGGGGGGGGGTGGCTGAGAGGTATTTTCTCATATTTCTTCTTTGGGGCTATTCTCGTTTTATGGTTTGGTGGAATCCTTTTCATTTCCATTGTCAGTCCATTAATTCTTGTCATTCGAGGACTTAACCCTTTCAAGTCCAGAACTCCCACCCTAAGGCCTCAATCTTTGGGTTGGGGTTGCTTCACTATAGCTAGGCCTGGGCCCCAGCCAAGCTTTTCTTCATTCCCCTAGGTTTCTCCACACTTGATGTGATGTTCTTATCTCTCCTCCCCCACCACTTTGCCAATTCTGGAATCATAGTCAAATTAAACCTGCTCTTCCTTCTGGAAAAGGTGTTCCAATCTGCTCCTAAAGGTTCCACTCACTATCCTCAAAGCTTCCCTGACTGAAATACCTATCTCTGACTACCATTTCCTTAAATGTGTAGTTTTCCTCTATTGGAATATTAAATTCCTTGAAGGAAGGAAGGAGCTGTATTTGTTTTTGCATTCCTAATTCTAGTGCTTAGCACAATGTGTGGCATATAATAAATGCTTAATAAATCTTAATAAATGCTTTTTCATTCATTCATTCAAATGCTCTCTTTCCCTATCCCTTCTCAGGGTCCTCTACTTGATTATATACGGCACAGAGCTGAGAAAGACTTGGAGCACAGAAATGGAGAGGGAGAGTAGGTGGTGTGGGAGTGAGGCTGTAGGACTGACTAGAGAGGCTTGGTCTTCTTCACTTCTATATTGGGGGTGGGATGCGGGGAATGGGATGCAGTAGGTAGGGAGAGAAAGGAATATTGAAATCTGAAAACCATATCATGTTTTCTAGAGAGATTACCCTAAAGAGAACCAAAAAGACATTTAGTGAATCAGAACTGGGTCAGGAGAGCGGGGCTTTGAGTCATGGACTCTGCCATTTACTTGTGTTATAACTAAGCAAACCACTTTTCCTCTTTGAGCCCCAGTTTCCCCTTTTTTGAATCAAGGGAACTAGACCAAAATGCCCCCAAGTTCCTTTCTATCTCTGATGTTCTGTGTGATTGGAAAGAATCCTGGACCTATAGGCAGGGCACCTGGGTTCAAGTTAATAATAACAATAATAATAGTATTTATTTATGTGGCACTTTAAAGTTTGCAAAGCACTTTGCATTCATCATCTCATTTGAGCTTCACAGAAACGTTGTGAGGTAGATAATACAAGTATTATTATTTCCATTTGTCAGATAAAGAGAGGCTCAGAGGGCTTAAGTGTTACACCACTAATAAATGTAGGAGGTGAGATTTGAACCCAAATTTTCCAAATTAGACCAGTTAAGAAGTGGGGACTCGCTGCTCACTCCACTTTGCATCTGCTGCTTTACCCGATTTCAGTTTCTTGGAATAAGATGTCCCAAGCGAGCTACTCTCCTGGCGCCCTCCCTAGCCTGCCTTACAGCCTCTTTTTGATGTTGTCTTCCCCAATTAGATTGTAAACTCCTTGAGGATGGAAATATCTTTTTTTCCCCTTATTTTCTTATTCCCAGCACTTAGCACAGTGCCTGGCACTGTGGTAATAAATGTTTATTGAATTAAATATGTCATACTCTTGTGTTGACTATTAGAATTGCCTCCTAATTGGTTTCTTTGTTTTCAATCATTCTCCATATAGTCTCAGTTTGTCAGTTTGATACTTCCAAGCCACACACAGGATCATAAATTTAGAGCTGAGAGGGGCCATAGACATGATCTAGTAAGTCCTCTCAATTTACAGATGAGGAACTTGAGACCAGGAAAGGTTAAGTGATTTGCCTCAGATTACTCAAGTCTTAAGTGACAGAGGTAGGATTTGAATTCAGTTCCTGTGACTCTAGAAGCAGTACTCCTTCCACTGTATTATGCTACCTCCCATACTCCTAAAGGACAGGTTTAAGCATGTTATTCCCCTACTCAAAAATCTTCAATGGCTGTTTATTGGCTGTAGAATAAATGATAACATACTCATCCTGGCACTTAAGACTCTCCAGGAGCTCTGCAGGCTTTCCCTCCTTTTCTGGTATTATTTCATATTACGGCTTTTCAAATGCTCTCTGTCTCAGCCAAACTGGCCTGCTGGCTCTTCCCAATCTTCTGTTTCTCTGCTTTTGAACACGTGGTTCCTCACATCTTTAAAGCACTCCCTTCTCACCTGTGTAGAATCTCTAGCTTCCTTCAAACCAGGAGTCAGGCCCCGCCTTTTACAGGATCCCTCCAGTCTGTCTCTCCTGAAATTCCTTTGTATATAATTTGTAATTGATTGGCAGTGAGGCGTTGTTAATGGAGGATTGACCTTGGAATCAGAAAGACCTGAGTGCTTGCCCAGCCTTAGCCACAGCTGTGTGTGACTAACCTCTCCATGCCCCCATCAACTCTCCAAGACTTTGGAAGTTCCTACACTGAAATTTTCCTACATCAATGAAATCACAGGGCTGCACCCAAAAAATCCCCAAACCCAACCAATCAGACAAACAAAAACCTTTCTTTGGGGTACATTCATCTGTGTGCATGCTTTACCCCCGTCTCTTCCCAGAAAAACCTAAGCTCCAAGACTCAGCTTAAAAATCCTGCCTTCTGCAGAAGGTCTTTCTCAGGCTGCCCCCTCTGAGATTATCCTCCATTTACTCTGTATATATCTTGTATGTACAAAATTATTTACATGTTGTACCTATGTGAGCTCCTAGAGGGCAAGGACTATGTTTCAATCAACAAGCATCTTTTTATTGCCTATAAATACGAGCCAGATACCTGCTAAGTTTAGGGATCCAAAGAAAAGGTAAAACATGCAAACAACTGTGCACAAATAAGAAATATACAGGATAAAGTGGAGACAGTCTCAGAGGGCAGGTACTAGTAACACTAACTTCCTCCTGCCTAGATTAAAGGAAGAAATGTATTAGGGATAAAAATTCAGAATGACAGCTAGTTTGAATTTACCCATAACATTTCACCATAATCTATATAAAAAAACAAACCAGTCATTAAATCCCATTAACATGTCCTTTCCCTTTCCATGTTTTTCCACATCTTTGCTTCCCATTGATAATCAGATCCTGCCATTTTTATCAGAATTCTGAAGCGCACATACTTTTTATACAGTCCAATAGTGACCAAACTTGGATCCAGCCAGCCAAATCTGGAGAGGATTTTGAGCCTCTCTAGCTGCTATTAGTATAAATCACCTTAAGTTATATAAAGGCTATTTTTATTGTCGTTGTTCTAACTAGGGGCTTAGGACAAGCATACAAAAAAATATAACAAAATGCTGGGTCTAATGAGTTAAAAGGAGAGAAGCAGGCAAATTCCAGATCTTTCATTCTCTATCCTATGTTCTAAGTTTTTTCACCACTTGGACATTCTCTGACCCTGTAGGTCCCAGTTTCAGATCTGCCACCAGCGAGCTAGGTGACTTTGGGAAGATATGGCCAGAGTTCTGAATCTCGTTTTCTCCGCGTGTGGGAGGAGGCGGCTGGGCTGGGCCGGGACGTATTTGAGGGCCCTCCCTGCTGTGACGCTCTCTGAGTGGGAGTGGGATCCGGCTCTTGGACGCAGCTACTCTGAGGATTACGGCAGCGGGGCCAGTAGCAGGAACCCGGGAGCCTCATTGAATCAGCCGCTGCTCTCGGCTGGCGGCGGAGCATCCTCTGTTCCGCGCCCGGCAACCGGGGGCATTCCCACAGCTCGCAGACACCAGCCCCGCACCATGGCCAAAGAAGGCGCGGAGAAAGCGGAGGAGACGGAGCAGATGATCGCCAAGGAGGGCGGGCCCGAGGCAGCCCAGGGCGGTGGCGGCGGAGGCGGCAGCCCTCGGGCCGCGGACACCAAGGAGATGCGTGCAGTGCTGTTGGCCGGCTTCGGCGGGCTCAGCAAGCTGAGGGTTAGCCGGAGGCCCATGCCCGAGCCCCAGGAGGCCGAGCTCAAGATCCGCGTCAAAGCCTGGTCCAGTATCACCTCTCTCCTCTCCTTCCTCCCAATTCCCGGACCCTTCCCGAACCAACCCCCAGGCAGCTTGATCTGATTGTAGCTGTGTCTGTGGGGAAGGGGTGTGTGCGTGTGCGTGTATGTATGTGTGTGTGTGTGTGTGTGTGTGTGTGCATGCATGCATGCGCGCGCTTTCGCGTGTGTCTGGGTGTGTGGGTGGGAGAGTTTTGTGTGTGTATGTGTGTGTGCGTGTGTGCGCGCGCGCGCTCTCGAGACAGGCAGAAACAGCGAGAGAGAGAGAGAGAGAGGAGAGAGTGAGAGTGTGTTGCGGGGTGTGTGGGGTGCCCACAGAGAGGGAGTAACTACCTTTGCTTTTACCCTTAAACAAGTCCACCTGGTCTTCATCTCCATCTGCCTCCTCCAATTTTCCACCCCCACCCTCTCCTACCCTGGGCATAGGAAGACCCTCCCCATTCTGGTGCCAGAAAGTGTGTAAGAGAAGGGAGGAGCTGGTGACACCTTGGGGAATGTTCGCTCAGAAGTCTTCTTGGCACCATAGCCTTCTAATAGCCTGGGAAAAGGATGAGCCCTGGGTTGAGAATCAGAGGATCTTGTTTCAAATCCTGTTTCTATCATTGGTCCTGTAAAAGTTCCTTCCCTTCTCTGGGTCTCAGTTTCCTCTGCTATAAAATGGGAATAATAAAACTCACCTGGGGGCTGAATGGAGACCAAAGGAGATTAGGGATGGGGTTATGGATTTTGTTAAAGTGCTAGGTACTGGAGAGCTATTGTGATTCTGGGGAGAATATTTGGGAGGGGTCCGAAGGGATTCACTGAGATCAACTACTGCCAAGGTCCAGCCTGAATCGAAAGGAGCCTGGCTTGATCGTTATGTGTGTGAGGTGATGGTAGGGGAAGGAGAATGAGGGAGTGGTACCAATTTATTCTTCCCTGGTGTACTATCCCTGTTGCTTTTCTAGTGTGACCATTGCTGCAATGGGCATGGTGTTGTGCAGTAGACGAGTCCACAGCTCTCCATGTGATCTTGAGCAGTTCATCTCTTTTGAACCTCAGCTTCTTCCTCAGTAAAATGAAGATAATAATCTGTGAATGACGTCCCTGACACAATGGTGGTTTCAAATGTGATGTGTAAACATGAAAGCACTCTAGAAATGGGAGTTGCATTATTATTTTCGTGGAAGCCTGCATCCTAACCACCCTGGGAGGCTTCAGCCTAGGGACTTGACCGCCGTCTTCCTCTCCCACCCCAGTTCTCTTTTGGCCCTAGAGCAGAAAATTGTAGTAGCCCATTTGACAAATGGATGAAATGTTCTCTTCTATGGGTTTGGACTCTGTCTTGATATGTTGTAATTATCCAAACGATTAATTTAATCCTTTTCTTCCGCTTTTATCTCTTCCAACCCAAATTTTGAACCTTAATTTTTCAGGTTCAAAAAGTACATTTTCAACAAATATTTGTTAGTTATTTACTCTTTATTTACTAAGCCACTGTGTTCTCAAAATGAATTAATAAAACAGTTAACCATTCCCATCCAAATGAGAGAGAGCCTGTGTGCTCCTATAGCAAGAGGAGACAAGGCTTGGGACAGAAAAACAAATCAAACTGACCAACTTCCAGAGAAACTTTCCAGTTAACCGAGTGCACTCTCACCTGTATCATGCTTCCTTTATGAGGCAGCGTAGTATGGAGAAAAGCATGTTGGTCTTGGAGTCCTGACTCTGACACTAACTTGCTGTATCACCTTGGACAATCATTTCACTTTTCTGAACCTCAGTTTTCTCATCTATAAAATGGGACTAATAATATGCAGTGGTGTAGGGGAAGGAAGCATTAGACTTAAAAGTTGGGAAAACAGGTTAAAATCCCAGCTTTGCCATTTAGCCCCTAAGTGACCTTAGGGGAGTCACAAAACAGAGATACAAATGGGAACAGGAAGAAGGAAAAGGGTAATGTACATGGGCTTCAGTTTTCAAATCATCAAAGTGAGGTGGTTGGAGACCATGATCTCCAAGGTCCCTTCCAGCTCTAAAGCTATGATTTCTCTTGGTTGCTGGGGAGTGGCAGGGGGAGTAGGGAATCGCCTTATAAGCCATAGAGATTTCAGCTATAGTAGCCTCACAGGACCTTGTGGGGTGGATGGTAAACCCAGGGAAGTTGTGATGGCCCTTGGTCACAGTGTTAGGCCAGCGATTTCTCCCCTGAACCAGAATCCTCTTGGGGTGATGATGTACTGAAGATCAGGTATTCTAGAGAAAGGAATCACATCTGTGGAGCTGAGCCCATAGGGGTGGGGTGAGAGAGAGAGGGTGGCTTGTTTTCTAACTGCATAAATGCTAAAGCGCTCTGCCCTGGCAGGAAAAGAGATGTCAAGGTGAAGGACAAAAGATTGATTTTCAAAGCAGGATATGTGAGCCTGTACTTAGACCATACTACACACAGAGAGAGAAATCAATCTCTCTCTCTCTCTATATCTCTCTCTCTCTCTCTCTTTCTCTCTGTCTCTCTCTCCTCTGTTTCTTTCTCTCTCCCTCCCTCTCTCTCCCCCTTCCCCCTCTCCTCCCTCCCCCTCCCATTTTTTCTCCCTCCCCTTTTCCCACTCTCTTTTTCCCTCCCTTCCCCTTCTCTCTCCTCCTCCTTTTCTCTCTCTCACCTTCCCTTTCTTTCTCCCCCCCACCCTCTCTCTCCCCTCCCTCTTCCTCCTTTTCTGTTCTCTCCCTCTCCCCTCCCTCTCTTTCTTCCCTTCTTCCCCTGCCCCTCTCTCTCT